CTCCGGAGCTCCGCCCCATCGAGATTATGAAGCAACACCTTCTTAAACGACCTAAGGTAGTGAAGACAGTCGAGGAACTGAAGAAAGTATGGGTTTACATGCAAAAAACGGTTGATTCACAGGTTGTGCAGAATCTTATGGCCGGGGTTAAGGCCAAGGTGCGGGCATTTGCGTATGGACTGTAAATAAAATACGAGTAAAATGGTAAAATGAAGTTTAATAGTTATTTCTCAATCCCTGAAAATTTGATGGCAATCGGATGAAAACTCGAATTTTGCGAATCAATTTTGTGTGTGGCAATTTCATCGTGGACACCCTTTACCCTGCGACATGTCTGCTAATGTTTTGCAACGTTCTACACATTATTGCACTAATAATTGTCGAACGAAATAACTTTTTTTTAACATCCATTTGAGCGGTGAACGCCGACCCAACCTTAATCGAGGGTTGCGTTTATCACCCACTTTAAAAAAAAATAATCATCAAATAGTTATGACGAGCTAAATTTCATAAGGATCGCGACTGTGTAATCAACATATTATGCCTTAACAACTTACAAACCATATATCATGTTAAATGAAGACAAAAATTTTAAAATAAAATAAAGTAATATGTCCACTATGGAATAAGCGGGGAATAAACCCTTGCTTACATGTACTAATGAGTCTCAAATAAATTATTGATAGCACTTAAATATAAGTTTTATGCTTTTCCCGTATTTCTATGACCTTTAAGATTGTCCAAACAAATCCTCTATACACAAACCGTACCACCCTAGCTTGCCGTGCGGATCTATTTGCTTTTTGCAGAAGGAAGTGTTACTGCTACCTAAAGCTACAACAAATCTAAACAGCAGTTTTCAGTGCTCAACCTGTAAAGTTTCTATCTTGTTTGACTCTTATTCCTCTTCGATCCTTGTTTGGACCCTACTCGAGGTAATCTTGGAAAATTTCTCTTCGCTCCTTGGGATTCTTAAAGTTATCTGCTGGGAAGTTTTGGGGAAACTTGGTTCTGCCGCCATGGCTCCTAAGCGCAAAAGAAAGGGGCAATCGCTTGATCCCTCTTCTGATAGTTGACGCAAGAGCTGCCTCAGTACCAAAATGCGAGATTAAACTCGATTCAATTATAAAAGAAGATGATCTTCAGCTCTTGATCCATCTGAAAAATGTCCGTAGGAGGCAATATCAAAGAACACGCGATCTTGCCATGAAAGTGCCATCATGATGGAATTTTATATATCATCATCAAAAAACTCCCAGAGAGTACCTTGCCTTACTTGATAATATTATTTAACAGATGCTTCCATTGGGCATAGTTTCCTGATACATGAAAATGAAAATGCAAAAGTTGTTCCAATTTGTAGGTCGGATAAAAATCCAGCAGCTTCTAGCTACCGTCCAATAAGTTTGCTTTCTTCAACTTTCTGAAAAGATAATTTTAAATAGAATGATGCTTCACATCAAAACGAACTCGATTTTTGCAGATGAACAGTTTAAATTTTGCTAAGGGCACCCAGATAACCAGAAGTCGTATAACAATGTTCAGACAGTATCGTAAATTGCTACAGTTTAAGTCAAAATCGCATATAAGAATGGCATACCTCGCATTACGTTTAAGTTAAATCGTATAGAATGCAAATTTTTGAACTATATGCGATGACTCATTTTTCCTTCGTACTGTATCACAAAATAAATCGGATTACATCGTAAGACTTTTCACAAGGATTTTGTTATTACAGATTAAATCGTATATGATGTTAAATCAACTCGTTTAATATTAAATGAAAATATGCACGTATATGGCCTCCACTTTTGGACGCATAAGCCATTTACAGGGTGCGTGACAAATTTTTGCAGTAAATGGCATATTTGAGAAAAAATACACCAGTTAGTTATTCTAGCAATGAATTTTGTGCGATTTATTTTCTTTCGCAACATATGGAAGTTGTAAGTAAATTTATTCAAAAAAATTGCCTTCCCTTTCGACGACTGTAGTTAGACGCTTCCGGAAACTGCAGTATGCACGTTTTAAAATGTTTCGATCCATAGACGTCATCACTGCCTTGATTTTAGCTTTTAGCGACTTAAGTGTGGTGTGAGGGGTTCTATTGGTATCCCGTTGGACGACGCCCTATACAAAATAATCCAACGGATTGATATCAGGACTGTTGGGGGGCCAAATTTCTCCAAATTTCTTCCTCCCAAATTTACGAAATATTTTCCGTAAGCCATTTCTGTGCTTTATTAGCAGTATGAGCAGGTGCTCCGTCTTATCACTTTCCCAAGCCTTTTTTAATATTATACACTGTTCTTTCAGACACATTTACCGACCGAATTATTTCTTTCATGCATATTCCGGCGCGCAACAAAGTGACAACGGCTAACAGATTGCTCTCTTGTTTCGACATCTTTACGTTTACTCAACATTGTTTGTTTAAATCTTACACCTAACAGTATAAACTATCCAGTGCTGCCAAATATATCTAAATCATGATGCACAAGCATGAGAAATTACTATTTGAAATTTACTGCAAAAATTCGTAACGCACCCTGTATTTGCATTGTATACGAATTGCTTGTTTGTATATATGTTTGTATATCACGAAAACAACTTTGAATATACGTACATTCTGCTTGTCTGGGCATTCAACTACTCATGAACTCCAATTACCAATTTAATTCGTTCAAACAAATCTGAAGGCTACTTAACTGGAGTTGCTCTTCTAAACATAGAAAAAGCATTCGACAGTGTTTGGCATGAAGGTTTGATTGCTTAATTGAAATAGTTTAATTTCCACTCAATATTATGAAATCAGTTCAAAATTATTAAACTGACAGAACTCAGCAGGTAAATTATCGAGATTCCAAATCTAATCGACTACCTGTTAGAGCAGGAGTTCCTCAGGGTAGCATTCTTGGGCCTATATTGTATAAAATTTTCACTTCGGACCTCCCTGATTTGCCTCAGAGTTGCCACAAATCTTTGTTCGCTGATGACACAGGCATTTCCGTGTTATGTGCAGCAGACTGCAGAAAAGTTTCGTTATTTTCTCTTCTTGTTTACAAAAATGGAAGATTTCTCCCAACGCTTCCAAAACTCAACTTATAATATTTCCACATAAGCCTAGAGCTTCCTTTTTTAAACCTAGTAGTAGTCACTTTGTCACTATGAACGGAGTTCCAATTTCCTGGTCAAACCAAGTGAAATATCTTGGATTAATACTTGACCAAAAATTAACTTTTAAAGATCACATTGAGGGCATTCATGAAAAATGGAACAAATATATAAAATGTTTGTATCCTCTTATAAACAAAAAATCCAAACTTTGCCTGAAGAATAAACTTCTAATATTTGAACATGTTTTTAGACTGGCCATTCTTTATGCTGTGCCAATATGGTCCAGTTGTTGCATTACTCGGAAAAAATCACTTCAAAGGATCCAGATCAATGTTCTGAATATGAATTTGAATTTGCCTCCCTGGTACAGTACTACCGAGGTACATAGAATATCGAATGTTGGGACTTTAGATAAAATGTCCGACAAAATGGTTATTCATTTCAGGCAAACATTGTTGCAGTCCTCAATTGCAAAAATTAATTTCCTTGAAATTTAGATAAGATTTAGTTTTAGTTTTTAGTTTTAAGGTGTCAATTGTTATACTGACATGCAGGTGTAGAAAACTTGTTCAAAATACTGAATTGCCATGGCAGGAACAATGTGAAAACACTTAAATATATTTATTTATTTATTCGTCGTCAATCAAATGTAGGCCAGGTTGGGTTACAAAAAAACATTAGAAATATATTTTTATATTTAATCCCTGACTAACCTCTAAAAGAAACGTTTTTTATGTAACAATCCAGCTCAGCCCTCAAGTGACTCTAACTACACTCTGGGTCGGCTTTATTCCGCCGAGATTTGCGAAAATAGAGGAAAAACCAAGACACATAATTTGCTTATGGATGGCGATTTATTGCAATTTTGGCCGTGACGGTCCCTAACAGTCCTATATTTTCCTATCAGGAATACTACTCACGGTTTTAGTTTGTGTGCGGTGTCAGTGTCGAGCTCGTCGATAAACGTTAGCTGGCTGGTTGCGTCACGGCTGGCACGAGGACTCCGTGCCTGGTTGGATGCTACAGACTTTTGTCTCCTTCCTTGTCGTTCACGCCGATCGTTTCGAATGCCCTGATTGCGCCGTTCGCGTCGATTACGCGGATCTGGCTTCTCCAAATCTAGTGGGATGGTTCGCGCCGATCGTGTCGATTTTTACGATTGCCAGATTGCACTTGTCTGGTTCCACGGGAAGTAGATGGTTCCACGCCGACACGTGTTACGACGGGATTACCATCGGTGGAGCCTTGATTCGCAGACGCATTGTGCGGCTTCGTCTATGTGATGACGGTGTCGCTTACCGTTTTATTTCAAGTATGGCAGTCGATCGTGGTTTACAGAACTTTTCCACCACTTCACTAAAGTTTTCTTCGAGAGCTGAGGTCTGGATACTTTTCTGGTGCTCAAACAAGTGACCGAGCATATAGGCTTGCAATCCTTGGGAACTGGCGAATAGGCCTTTTTCTGTGGTTGTTGTAGGTAGCATCCACTCATCAGGCAGTACTGCTACCATAATTACCAGCGTGTAGTGGGTGTGTCGTGTTGTTGAAGCTGTGTACAATACCTGCATAGTGTGTTGTAATCTTTTAATTTGGTCGTTAGCCGTCTTTTTCCTTTTAGCTTAATTTTGCATTAAACCTAGTTTAAGTAGAAGAAATGGCTCTGATGTTGGTCTATGGATCTAAGATTGGAACCATCGCTAAAAATTTGCTATTTATAACTTTTATCTTGGACGGTACTAATAGATATTTTTGGTCGCTACTGAAAATTTAGTCAATTGCTGAATTTATGTATGGGCCCAAATTAGGGGCATTTAGGCCGCCATTACATCTATTTCCCCTATTTATTTATTTGTTAACATTATATTATTTATATATCTCTATTTTTATGATTTTAGTTTGAATTAAGTCCCTGTCTAACTAGCTAAGGTTTTGTTTATGAATTTTCCTCTATACAAGTATATTAAACTCCATTTATGGAAGGAATACAGAGTGATTTGTCACATTAAAGAGCATTTTTGTTCGTTGTAAAATAGTATGTTTAATAATGTTCATTATAACAAGACATCATTCAATTCAAAGGCGCGTTCCTGGCATAGTTTGTTAGATATATATCATAACAATTATGGCTGGTATGTTACTGTAGTAGCTGGAGCACCCGGTTCAAATTAAATGAAATTTATGTTGAATTTGGAACAAATAGAGTGAAAAAAAAGTGCTGAATACAGTAAGACTTTTGTCACTGCTTTTACATTTTGTTTTGGTAGTTTAGTTAAAGATGAATAAGGAATATACATTTTTTAAATACCAGCTCCAATGTAACTTTATTTTCGTTTGCATTGTTGCAATGATATGCGTAACTTCTTATTTGTTAATGTCGTGAAAAATCGCAAATTTTGCATACTTTTTAAGTAAATCTGAAATATAATCTTACACAACTTGTGTCATTATTTTTTCTTTAATTCACTGAAATAGAACTTTTTTGTCAACGTAGATGTTTCGGTTGGTGCCTGTTGAACTCTAAAACAAATGAAAACAATTATATTATAAATTGAGGAAAGCTCAATTTCATACTAACCTTGTACTGCAAAATTTTTTCCTAATTAGTGTCATTATGTCGATTATCTCTTTGTCTGCATTTTCTTCAATCATTCGGAACAAAGTTTGAATAAAAAACGAACCTGTTTGAGTGTTCCTCATGGATACAGTTCCTACAAATAAAATATTAATTGTGAACATGAGCGGTAATGATTTTCTCTTTTACATAAGACATTACAATATTCCCGTAAACTCACCTTCATAAGTGCTGTAACACTTCAACATATCGAACTTGTTGGTAGTCGTGGGATGGGAGTCCGTTTCCATAATGGCACCGCCTTTGCAGGCTTGCACGAAAAACAGCTTCGGCTTGTTTTTAAGAGAGTCATTCATCAATATCGGTTCAACAATTTTCGCCTCAAAATTGTACGTTTTGTCCTTTGCTCTTATGTCTTCTCTTTGCCCTCCGTGACTCATAATAATCACTATCAAACAAGAATAGTTGTTAAAGCTTTTTTTCCGAACTGAAAAAAAGAAGCATTATGTTTTTCATCCTCTCGACTTATTTTTATATTACTGTCATACTTTCAGTCATTTTCTTCTCGACCTTTTGGACCGTGTAATCCTCACAGGGGCTAGGTACTTCTGCACGATGGTTTTTAAAAAAATCCGAGATCAACTTTATATCATGTTCACTTCCTTTTCGATGTAGTTCGGGATCATTTTTGAACATGTGATGGAAAATTAGTACATATGCTTTATCCTTCAGGTCGTACCGCTCCACAGATGTATGATTTGATGGCCTGTAATAGAAGGAATGCGTTCATTAGAAATTCGATGCACATTTTTTATAATTGTAACATCATAATTTATAATTAAAGATGACTTGATTTTTATTGTGCTTTTGGTTTTCTTTGTGAGTAACAGAGTCGATATTATTCAAAAGAGACTTTGAACTATCGTCGATATCCACATAAAGCTAGATGTTCTTTGTTTATAGAAGTAATTTATCTACCTTCAAGGTTACAAATACGTACGTCAACGAACAAATTAAGCACACTGCGCTAAAAATCATTTTTAGTTTGGGAAATATAAGTATAAGTAAAAGCATCACTTACCCTGGAGCTGCACTAGTAGAAGGGTCCCAAAGAGGTCTAGCATCTTGAGCAATTGAGTAATTGCCTGTAGGGGTTGGTACTGTCAACCGAGTTGGGTTGCTTAATGTTGCGAATCGCTCTGAATTGATCACAGATTGGGATCGATTTTTTTCCTCACTGGTTCCGTTTGTGAGAGCTGTTCTCGCCGCTAAGGAAGGTGTATTCTGTGAGGATCGGTCGAAGGCTTTTGGATTTATTATTCCATATGCTTGTGACCCTCTCGTTTGGATGTAAACGGGCTCGTAGGTGCTACGTATGGAAGATGCTGATGATTTAATTTTGGAAATTGCTACGTCGTTCGTCATAAATGAACTGGACCGACTGACGTATCGCGTTGAAGTCGTTTGTGTTATTGAGGTTTTAGAAGTTTGGGAGGATCTCGTATTTTGTTGAGTCGTGTTGTTTGCCACAAGTTTCTTTATATTGATGTTCATTTTCACACTGATTTTAATTGTTAAAAAAAATCTAAATGTAAAATTTTGGTACTCACACTTTTGGTCGATAAGAGGTGAAAAAATAAGCTATAGGCGTTCTAAAAAATACGATAAGCGAACGTTCGTCTTATCAGGGCGTCAAGCTGCTGTCAGTGCCATTCTGTTTGCAGTACAATCGGCGAGGGGCTTTATGGATGTGATATCGTTTTATTTGATACACCAACATAAATAAATGACTAGGAATGGTGTTTGATGCTATGTTATAGTCTAAATAAGACCTAGCAGCGTGGCATCATTCTCCATTTGCAAGGTGGCATGGCGTGAATAAGCGTGAGCTTATTTTATCAGTCCATATGAAAAAGTTGCTGTCCCAGGAGACCTGTTGTTATAGTTTTTAGATTTAGATTGAGATGGATTATTACCCAATTTTCAAGATTTTGATTTCTACGTGTTTTTTTCCGTAGTTTATATATAAGTTCACTGGTTTTATACGAGATTATTCGATTGCAATTACCTTTAAATATCGCAATTTAAGAAAAAAAAAAAAGCAGGAGATCAGTGAATTATGCACATGCGTTTAAAAACATTGCGCATTTCACACCACCGTAGACTTCTGTGCTAAGAATAATTCCTCAAGATGCGATGCAGCTCAGGGCTGAAAGTCTCTTCAATAAAATAACACGAGTTGTAGACAATGAACAAGCACCGCACCGTTGCTATCGAATATACATACTATGACGTGACCCGCACCGAAAACGCACACAGCTGCTTCTGTCGACAGTTAAGAGCACACTGAATGATTGTTTTGTAGTTAGAAATATTGGACATTTCATACCACAATAGACTCATGCGCTAAAATAATCCCTCAAGGCTCAATAATCTGCTCAAGAGCCAGCTTTTTCATATAATGCGTTTTTTTCCAGGCTCAGTTGCTGTAGCTTTGCGGAGCCGATATTCATTTTTTAGATTACAAAATTACTTAAAACCAACGATAGTAAAGCGGGGGCCGATTACTCGCGGCTATCTCGAGGTTAGGGGTAACACATTGTAACAAATTGATGGCAGGGTAGGGATTGTAAACACAAGGTTTGGAGAGCAATGTGCTTTTGATCTCTAACTAGGCGACACTCTGATGAAAAAGACAAACACAGGGGCACACCGTGTTATGGTTTTCGGATTGCGTGGGCACTCAATTAACACAGAGGTTAGGTTTATACTTTATTAAAATTATTTACAGTTGTTGATAGCTCGATGGTTGAACATAAAAGAGGATTTAACAATGGTGGGGAGCACTGTTTTACATGTGTAGAGGATTGTCAGCTTTGACCTTTGCCAAGCCCATCAGTAGGGATTCGGTATAAACGATATGATCGTTATTATTATATCTAGATATGCAACATTTTCCCCTTTTTTGATTATCTACTACTAATTTACAAAATCAAAAATCTTCAAATCTGAATCTAATTGGAGGTCTACTTTCTCTAGCTGATCTACGTAGTATAATATCATCACTCATCGATACACTTCTCCTTTTCAAATACTTTGGGGTTGAAACTTGTACTTCGCTTTCTGATTCGCTGTTCATTTTTTTCTGGAATTTTTAATGAATAATCTTTAACAAATGAGCTCGGATGTCTTAACTGGTTTACATGAACATTTCTTATGTTTCCATTTTCCAAAAATCTTATTTTGTACAAAAAACTTCCAATTATATCTAAAACTGCTGCTGGAATCCACCTTACAACTTCTTTCAAGTGATTCCTATACATGACCTTTTCCTCTTTTTTAAATATTTGCTTGGGAAGGGGTTTCTCGATTTTCTTACTATGACCCACACTACTATCGTATACAATTCTCTCATTTTTTGAATCATCAAATCTTACCTTTTTAGTGTTTTGAATAGATTGTTTAACCGTAGAATGAAATTTTGGATTAAGGGCAGTCAACATTGTACCAGGCCTAAAACGTAAAATCAACACACTGGGTGACATGGATGTGACGGTGGTGGGTGTATTATTATACCAAGCGAGTATTTCATTCAGTTTTCGCAACAAATTCAACGAATTCAATTGTTGATCCAACAGCGGCGCCGGTGGTGTAGTGGTAAGCGTGATTACCTCTCACCCCAGCAGGCCTGGGTTCAATCCCAGTCGGCGCCGCCGGGATGTTCTGAGGCATAACATCTCTGAACACGCCTTCCTTCGGAAGGGAAGTAAAGCCGTTGGTCCCCGGTTCATGAGTTGATGGGTCGATAGGTAGGGTCCAGGTGTGGGAGCTGCCTTCCTGGCGTCGGTAGCATTGGTGCTCAGCACGGGAAACAAGATATACGGAAAACAAATCAAGGAAAAAAAAAATGTTGATCCAACAGGCGCTTTTTCAAAAAAATCTTAACCGTTTGTACCCACGCTTAGCTGTACCATTTGACTGAGGATGATACGCTGGTGATTTCGTCACTGTTACATTACGCGTCTTCCAATAGTTTTTAAATTCAAACGAGTTAAATGGAGGTCCGTTGTCAGACACAATTTCTTTCGGTAGCCCAAAATATTCAAAGAAAGATTCGAGTTTTTCATTTACTTGATTCGCATTTTGCCATTCATCAATTTGGCATCGATAAACTTTGAGAATGAGTCTACAATTATCAGAAAAGTTTTACCTTCGAACGCAAAGAAATTTATGTGTATCCTTTCCATGGGAGAAGTTGTATTTGGCCACTTTGATGTAACTTTCTCAACCGGTACATTTTTCCTTTGATCACAAACCGCGCAGTTCTTGAAAAAATCCTCAATGTCACTCTGCATGTTTCTCCACCAGAACATACTTCTTGCTAACATCTTTCCGCGCACGATCCCGTCATGATTCGCGTGTAACATCTTCAATACGATTGACTGTAGCCTACTCGGTATTACTACTCGATCACCGTAAAACAAACATCCATCTTGGAAATTCAAGGAGTTCCGAAGATTGAAATAGTATTTAAATTCTTCTGGGACATTCTGGGGCCACCCTAACATTACGAACTCATAAACCTGTGAAAGAACCTCGTCTTTAGCAGTAAAATCCGCCACGTCACGCGTTTTCAAAGGTAGATCCGGAAAGTCCTATAGTTTGTTGATTGACAATTCCTCGATATCTGTATTTCCCGGTATCGGTAATCTCGATAATGCGTCTGCATTAGCCAAACTCCGATTTGGTCTATACTCGAATTCGTATTCATACATTGATAAAATAACTGCCCATCTCTGAAGTCTCGATGTCGCTACAATCGTCGTACCTTTACGCGGATGGTAAATTTCTTTTAACGCTTCTCACACTAGCTTGAACTTGTGACCGTAAATGTATTTGTGAAACCATTTCACCGCGAAAATAATCACTAAAGCTTCCCGGGGAAGATGCGAATAGTTTTTTTTTTTCGCTGGAGACAAAGTACACGACGCAAATAGAACTGGCTTTTCTTCGCCTTCTACGAAACGCGACAAGACTGCACCCACACCATATGGGCTAGCATCTGCCGCCACGACAATCGGCTTCTGTGGATCGTACAACTGTAACACGTTGTTATCTAAAATCAACTGTTTACTTCTCGAAAAACATTCTTCACAATCTCGGGTCCAAAAGAAATTTTCATCTTTCCTAAGCAAGCGATACAAAACTCTCAGCTCCGCGGAAACGTTTGGTATAAATTTCGCATAATAGTTCAATAACCCGAGATAGGACTGCAACTCAGTCACGTTCTTTGGCGCGGGGGCGTTGACGATCGCGTCGACTTTGCTCTGATTCGACTTTGCTCTGATTCTGTATCTGTAACCGACTCTTATCCGTGTTGATCTTCACATTATAGTGATTTAAACGACCTAATACGGTATCTAAAAATTCCCTGCACTTTTCAAACGTACCGGCTCCAATAAGGACGTCATCCAAATAACATCAACAACCTTCAATATCTTCCAAGATTTGGTCAATTATGCTCTGAAAAATTGATGGCGCACTCGCCACTCCAAAAGGCAATCGCAAATACTGAAATAAACCCACTTGAGTGTTTATTGTCAAGTACTGCTGAGAGTTTTCCGAAACGCTGAGTTGTTGATACGCATCACGAAGGTCGATCACACAAAACACCTTGCAGTTCACTAACTGCGAAAATATATCATCTATTCTGGGCAACGGATAATGCTCAGAACGCAAAAACGGATTGATTTTAACCTTGCAATCAATGCATAACCTCAACTTGCCGTTTGCCTTAGGCACAACAACAATAGGAGAGGCCCACTTACTGTGCGAAACTCTCTTCAAAATGTTCTCTTCGCATAGACGATTCAGCTCCGCTTCAAAAGTTGGATGCTGCTGAAAAGGTGGAGAATAAGCGGCATGGAAAATAGGAGTCACCTTGCTTTCAATGACGATCTCGGCATTAAAATCGCGAATGGGAGAATTATAATCGGAGACTACATTAGGGTATTTGAGGCGTATTGAATCAATAATAACAGAGTTCATACTCACGCATTCCTTAAACGACGTTCTCCAGCTCAGCCATAGTACATCCATCCAGGTTCGTCCAAGAAGCGGTTTAAAGGATTTTTCGCTCTCGATCACCACAAGCACTAATTTTATGCCCGGACTACTTCTTTCCTTGGACACCTGTACACTGATTCCACCGATTATTTTCAAACCTTCCACACCAAACAAGGGCACATGAGAGAATTGCTTCCTGTACAAGCTACTACTGATCACAGTCGTACAGGCACCACGATCTACCTCGAACTCTACAGGTTTTCCCTCCACATACAACACTTCCGTCATTACTCCACTACGGTCCAACAAAATCGTCGACCGATCTTGAAGGGAATTCAACTGCATCCGCAAGCTGGCCAACTCTGTTGTCAACTCATCTCCCGCACCAACCGTCCCCACGGTTTGGTTCTTCCGAAATACCTGGCTGGAACCACTATTCGGTTTTGAATAGCACATGTTCGCCGCATGGCCTTGCTTCCCGCACGAGTAGCACTTCCAGTTCTTTGCAGGACACTTCCCTTGCTCGTGCTCACGACCGCGCTTCTCACACATTTTTCTTCGTCCGGATTGATTCTTCGACTCATTCTGGAGTCTCGATCGACTTTTGCCTCTACCGCGAAACGGTTTGTTCGATCTAACCACTTGGGCGTTGAAACCACCATCGCGCACTTTGTTGTCTTTTCAGCTAATTCCCACGTCAATGCCTCTTCAACAGCCTTGTAGAAGGACACGTCCTTTTGTTTCAGAAGGTGCGTTCGAAGCCTTCCATCGAAAATCCCGAACACAAATCTGTCCCGCAATGCTTCTTTCAGAAACTCACCGTACTCACACTTTTCCACTAGCGATTTCAATTCCACTACATACTCCATAACTGCTTGCCCAGTTTTCTGGTCGGCTTGATGGAAGCGGTAACGTTCAGACACTTTGTTCACATCCGGTCGAAAATGCCTTTTCAAGGTCGTCTGAAGCAACTTCTTCAAAATGGCGTATGTATCCATTCCAAATGCGTGAGCAAGAATGAAACTTTCCTTT